GGGGCATGTAGAGCTGAGGAGAAGCCATCGGCTCTGGAGCTGAGCTGCTGTGACCAGATGAGTTGCTTTTCATCCATCATGAGAAATTCAGGATCTCAATCAAATGACAACTCAGACACCCATCTTCCCGAGTCACCGTAGTTGATTCCAGACCTTGGTACAAAACATTGGGTAAATGCTCCATGGCCCTTTGATTCTCTGAACTTTCAGGCACTCTAAGGGCCACAGAACCAAAACTCTCACCCTACACAAAATACAGTATTGATAAAGGGGAGGCTTGTAGATAATAAATGTTGGGTCAAAGTGAGTACAAATTGATTTCCCTATGCTAGAAACAGCATCACAGTTGTTTGTTTGCATGTTCTGGTGTTGTTTCCGATATGATCTACTTCCAAGTTTTTATACTAAATAAATAAAACCCCAATTGCAATTAATATTACCTACCAAAGTATTCCTTTTTCATGTGCATCTCTAACTCCTTTTCCAGCTCCAAGGTGAGCGCCTCCAGCCGCCTCTCCGCCTGGCTTGGTCCACTCTCTCGGCTGGGGGTCACCTGGTAAGGGATCTTAAACCTCTGGCTCGATGAAGCCGATTTTGAGCACACCCCATAGCTAAACGACGATGGCAACCCCGCGGTCATCTCCACAGTCCCTCCCGTATGGGCTGACTGCTGCAGGGGCTCTGGCACCGCCGAGAGCCCCTGGAGATGGATGCGACTTTGGATCCCGTTGGAGTCTCCAAACTCCTGCAGCAGCGTGTCCTCGTGCAAACTGCTGCCCAGCATCGATGACCGCGGCGAGGGCAGCTGCAGGTCTGGGTAGGTGCTCATAGACCCCCTGGAGCTGCGGGAACTCCTGGAGCTGTGGCTGGAGATGCTGGACCGCGGACTGACCACGCAGTTCGCGGTGGTCCCCGGTCTCGCGCTCCCGTCCTGGCTGCAGATGCTCGAGCGAGGGCTCGCCAGCGGCGCTGCGTGCAAAATCGCCCCCTCCAGATCGTGGTTGACCACGGGCCCGTACCGAGAATCGGAGTAACTGGATCTCGGGCTGGTGGTGAAGGAGTACTGGCTCGCCGTGCTCGACCTGGGGCTGGCGTGCCTCTGGTCGTAGCCCATGCTGATGCCGCTGGTGCGGTTGCTGCTGGGCTTGCTGCAGCAGTCGCAGCTGTTGAGGCTGGCCCGTGGGCTGGAGTGCTTACTCGTGTCGCTGGCGGTGCTTGCATAGCTGGATCTGGGACTGAGGACGCTGTTGCCCTCGCAGTGCACTAAACTGGACCTGGGGCTCGAGTACCTGTCCTGACCCGGCACCACCAAACTCGTGCGCGGGCTGCTGATGCTCGACCTCGGGCTGGCGTGCTTGCCCTGCTCTTGCGAGGACAGGGACGACGCTAAGCTGGACCGGGGACTGGTGGCGTTGTACCTCCCGTCGTGGCTGCTGGTGATGCAGACACTGTTGCACCTGTTGCCGGGCAGCGCCGCCGGCTTGTTGAGGGGCACGCCGTCGAAGGCGGAGCCGGTGCTGTACCTGTGGCCCTGCACCTCCAGAGAGTACCTCCTGTGCCTCTCGGAGGCGCCCGTGTAGCACGGCAGAGCCACTTCGGATTTGGTGCAGCAGCCCTCCTCGGCGTAAGCCGCGTCTCTCTGAGGGGCACAAAAATCCACGGGAACGGCCCGGTTGCAGTTCACGGGGCGCACCGGAGCCGCGGTGTACACTTTATTCCCAGACGTGAAATTCTCCACTGTGTGATGCTGCTGGTGAAGCACAGATGTGCCATTCATCGGCGTGCTCTTGTGCTCCGCTACAGCCGGAGCCGAAAAGTCTAAATCGGGGTTAATCACCAGGTCTCTCCTCGCGTTGTACATCCCATCCTTATACGCATCGTACAGGGAGAGGTCCTCCATCAATTTACTGGCCCGGAGTCCCAAATCTTCCTGGTAGTGCTCCATGTTGTGCTCCATGTTGTGCTCCTGAGGCGAGAAACAAGTTCAGAGTGTGCTCCGCTCCGCGAGCCAAACCTAGCGAGCACCGCGGAGCACTAATTGCATTTCACATGGAAATCAAAACAAAACGCCGCGGTACAGCCGTCGCTCATTTACAGAAAAAAAGCCTCCAACGTACTCAGAAAATCTCCACCGCGTGCCGCATCGTCTTCTTCTGCTTTGCCTCCCTCGCAGAGAAAGCAAAGTCTTTCTCACAGTTTCTGCCGACAGGGATACGTTTGTCAACTTCAGTTTTTGTTAAGTTGAAAGGTCTTTACAGTCAATGGCGCGCTGCGCGGAGGAATTTCGCCTTGTTGGTTTTTCCTCTAGTTTCGCTCACGTTCAATATGCTGGAAATTAAAGTAGGCCAGATAATCGGATGCGCCATAAATACCCGTTGTATATCAATCTGAATTCAGTAAGCGCACGGCAATTTGATTAAAACGCCGTTTTACACAGGGGACTCGTTCGCGTAAAAGGAATGCGAGGATGTAGACAGGATGCGCTGCGCCTCTCTGGAATGTGGTTAATGCTGCAGAGAAACAATGATTGCGACCAACTCAGCAAGGGGCTGCCGGCTCTGAAAAGAGAATAGTTTAGAGAGAAGGGGACGTCTGCATTCATCCCGGGCAGACTAAAATACCACACGAAGCACGCCTCACCTGGTCCGACTCCTTTTACACCAGGAATAAGCTGCAGTGAGCTGGTATTTTGGAGGGCAATGCGATTTAAAACTCAAGTTTATCCACGTTTTTTAATCCGAGGATATGAAGACAAAGAGATTCTCAGGTATAGCCCCATCGAAGTGTAGCCTGTATGATGCTTATTTGGACAATGTCCAGTTATCATAGCCGACTATGGGCTCTTATATGAATATTAAAGGAATGTTTTGTTGGGAATAAAACATAAAAATAAAAAATACACATCAAAGGCATCAATCGGGTGAATTGATTTAATAAATAAAAGTTTTATTCAAAGTTCATATTAGGCTGCATAAAATGTTATATATCATTTTAAGTAGAAGTGAACTGCATGCAAAGTGTACCAGTCACTTTAAAACGGAAAACATGAAAAAAACTGTGGAAAGAAAATTACTATGATGACCACAAATGGAGGCCATGGTTAATTTTGGTGGATTATTAATGTGGGATTATGATTCATAGTTACAGTAGATATGATGATGTAGACATTATAAACCAGGCCACCGAATCTTTGTCCAGGGTCCTCAAACATACTACTTACTTAATAAATTCAAATAAAAAACTTTAAATTGAACCTTGAATCCAGTTCAAAAATATACAAACCACATTTGCCTTGGAAGAGTTTATTCACTGCAGTTTTCAGAACATTCCTCAGCATTTCGTTACATTACAACTCCACAAAAACAGCACTAAAAACATGTGATAGGTTATTAAAGATCGTTGTCCCCAGAGTTGTTCTTTGAAAAGCTTACTGTTGTGGAAAAAAGAGGTAGCATTTGACATAAAGTGTCCAACAATAACAACAGCGTAAACTGACAGTCTAAAGCACCTGCCTACTGACTGATTTTATATTAAAATATGTCCATATGCATTGTGGCTGTGGCTCACTGGGTAGAGGGGGCCGTCCGGTAACCGCAAGATCAGCGGTTCGATCCTTGGCTGCTACATGTCCTGTGCCAAGACAGTGAACCCCTAACTGCTCCATGGCTGCTTCTCAGCAGCCCACTGCTCCCAATAAGCTATGAATGGGTTAAATGCAGAAGTCAAATTTCATATATGACAATAAAATCCTAACTTTGTCACGATAAGGGATGTATGGCATTTTGGAAAATATCAGAATCATGTTTTTGCTTCAGCTGCTCCTCAACTGCCAACAAATGGAAGAAAAGAGAGAACCACGGCAACAAAGGCGGAAACAAACAGGATGTCTCGTAGCAATCGGCCGAGGGGGGAGCTGTGAGATTTTCTCCCATGGCCTCTGCTTCTGAACCATTGTACGACCTCATCCAGGTTGTACTCCTGGGGCTCATAACCGAGCTCCGCCTTAGCTTTTGCCATGCTGAAGTAGTGCGTCACGCCGGTCTTATACACCTCTGTGCGTGTCAACAGCGGCTGGAAGTTATAGAAGGGCCCGATGAGGTGGTGGATCGTTTCTGTGAGAAAGGCAACAAAGTAGATGAGAGAGACAGGAAGGCACAGTTTGGGGAAAGGATAGCCCAAGCCCTCTACCAGAGGCCTGAAGAATTCAAAATTGTTGACAGGCCTTCCGTCTGAGATGAAGTAGGCCTGGCCAGCAGAGCGGTGCTGCTTCTCTGAGGCCAGCGCCTCAGCGGCGAGCTTGTGCGCCGACACCAGGTTGTCCACATGGACAAACTCCACCAGGCTGCCGGGCTCACCGTAAACAAACCTGAAGATCCCCTTCTCTATGTAGCCAACTATCCTGGGCAGGTGCCTCTGTTCGCCAGGCCCGTAGATTCCTGCCGGACGCAGCGCGCAGCATCTCAGCACCCCGGAGCCGTCCTTCAGTGCCGTGCCGTCGGCTTTCAGCACTGCCATCTCCGCCAGCGACTTGGTTCTGGAGTAGTGGTCGGGGTGCAGATGGAGAGGTAGATAAGGGAGGCTCTCGTCCCCGTTCTCTATCACTTGGCCTCCGAACACCACGTTGAAGGTGCTGGTGTAAACTAGCCTGGGCACTCCGTGCTCCACGCAAGCCCTCAGGACGTTCTCTGTGCCTTGAACGTTCACCGCCTCGATCAGATGGCGGTTAAGCTGCTCTCTGCCGGACATGCCATAGGAGGCGACGTGGAACACGCAGTCCGCGCCAGCGACGGCCTCCTCAACTTGCGCATACTCACGTATATCTCCTTGAACAAACATAAAGTCCTCTGGCACTTCTTGCTTGGGAGGAACTGTGTCAAACAGAATGATCTTGGCTCCTTGTCCGTGCAGGGAGCATGCCAGGCTGCAGGGGAAAACAAGTTATTAAATATGAATTCATCGCCGCATGAAACTCACTTTTACTGAATACAATGACAAACAAAATACCACAATGCATGTATTTCTAATGTTACATCTGCCAGGGGGTCTGTGGGAGTCATAGGTCCAGTGTAACTGAGATAACTGGTGCGATACCGCCACCTTGTGGCGGCAAAGCAGCGTTACAGCACAGGGCAACTCTGAAAGCCTTGCTGAGGGTTAGCTGACTGTGAATGTGCACCGTCACTTCGTTAACTTGAGTAATAAACAATGACATTGTTCTTACCGATAACCAAAATAGCCACATCCTCCAGTGATCAAAAACGTGTCTGCGCGTGCGTTTTCCATTGCAGGTGGACGAATCTGTGAGTTTGTATAAAAGAGAGAATTAGGCAGAATACAGAAAGAAGTGCACACAACGGCATCCTCGTGTCAAAACTACACTGTACCCCCCAGTAATAGACACACACATAAAGGGAAAAAGAAGCCACTACATTGACATTACCTAACCCGTAGTCTGTACTGACCGTATTTGTAACTTTTGTACAATTGTACCTTTCATAAGCTAACATAACCACGCTTACTTTCTATAGCGAGTACTCCAGAATGCCATGCAGACAGTGAGATAAATCCACAGCCTGAATTCTCTATGTGAGTTAAGTTCACGACACGAAGGTGTTTCGCTGTCGGTACTAACCTCAAACTATACCGGGTAGAAAACGAGGGAATGTCCGCTGAGAATCACTCGTTCAAAAACTCTACTATAGCACCGGTGAGAAAGACACGGCGCTCACGCGCCCCTCCGTGGTCTGTGCTGTACGTGCTTTTTGTTACGTAAATTACGTAAAAACCGTCAAGCGTTCGTACAAAGAGGCAGAATAACACAGGCAGCAGGGCAGTGCAGCGATATAGTGATTGGAAACTGATTTTATCTTTCAATCCTCGGTTATCAAAATTATGATAAAACATATAAAACTTTAGAATAGTCGAATATGCGTATGGTTTTATGCGTATGAAAAGCATTGCCTGAGTTGCATGCGTTCTAATGGTCGCCAAGTACGCTTTTATTTTGAAAGTCATAATCGGATGTCTGCCAGCAAAAACTTCTAAATTTTCTAAAACTTCTGGTATAAAAGTGAAGATATTTCCCCAAAAATATCAAAGGATTCCAAATAACTGCAATGACTGATCAGCAACAACAGCAACCTTCCGCCGAAGGTTTAGGTGAGAGTGTTTTTAAGGCTGCTCCAGGGTGATTCAGAATCAGAATCAGACTCAGAACCGTTTATTGCCGAGGAAGTTTGCACCTACAAGGAATTTGTCGTGGCGGGTTCAACATGGGTTCAACATGGATCACCACGGTTTGGGGTGAATTAGTTCTGGTCGAAGTGGGCTTTATTTCTGGAAGAGGCCTTTGGTGTCACTTCCTCTAAGCGGTTCACTTCCTTACTCAAATACTCGTAAGAACAATAAACATAGATTAACAGCTATCGTCGCTCGTGTTTCACCTTCGTTTTCAGATGACTTTGTGTTTTTATTTTCGTTGGTAGGGTAGACTTATATCCCTTTTATTGAAAAATATGGCGAAAGTGAATGTAGTTTTGCGCTGCGTCTCTCTGCAGTTTCCATTTGCTGATCCAGCTGGTTTTCATTTTTGTGAGATTTGGACAAAACAAGAGCAGGGGGAGATGTTTCCCACATTTAAAAATCAGTTTGCTAAAAGACAACTTGATCAAACTCTCATAATTGAGCAACGTATAGCGTACTTTTTCAAAATAATACAGTGGTAAACGCTTGTTGTGTTTTATCAAGACAAATTTAATTTTAACTAAGTTTGTTGCTTTGTTTGTAGGTTATGTCATGGTGCGTGGTGTCAAAAGCCTTTTTAATAACACCGCTTTCACCACGAAGATAACTTAAAGGATGGATCGTCCTTTTAAATATGCCTATTGGGAACATTTTGACAAATGGGCAATGACTAGTTGTCATTGTTTTAAGCTTTATAAAGATGACATTGCAACTTTGTAACTGGTGGATGGGACCTCTAAATTTGTCTGCATCATATGTTTATAAAGGGTTTAAGCTTCAACTACTGGCTTTATTTAGGTATAAGGGCTTTTTAGAAAGTGATATCTTCTATTGTCTTTTTATTTTACAGGCAAGATGAGTTTGGAGGAATACTTCGAAAGAATTGGTTTCCACGGCTCTTTTGATAAACTGGATCTCGCAACACTGAAGTTGATCCACAAAAAGCACGTCATGTCAATTCCATTCGAAAACCTCAGCATGCACTGTGGTGGGAGGAACATCATGGACCTTGAGGTCATTTTCAACAAGATTGTGAGGAACAACCGGGGAGGTTGGTGCCTTGAGAACAACTTCCTGTTCGGCTGGGTGCTGAGACAAATGGGCTACGACACTACGACGCTGGGCTCCAGAGTTTTCAACAGCATCCTCAATGATTTTGGCCCCCTTGATTCTCATTTCCTCAACAAGGTTGTCATCGATGGGAAGGCTTATATAAACGATGTAAGCTATGGGGTCTCTTTCCAAGTGTGGGAGCCCCTGGAGCTCGTCTCTGGAAAGGACCAACCTCAGGCAGCGGGTGTCTTCCGCTTCGTAAATAAGGGGGACATCTGGGTGCTGGAGAAAACCGGTAGAAAGCCAGAGGTTCTCAATCCAGAGTTTGCCAAATCAAGTCTGGTGAACAGGAAGGAAACCAATCAGATCTACTGCTTCTCCTTGGTGCCTCGTGAGGCCGAACATTTCCTTGAGATAAACAACAAACTCCAGACGGAGACTTCCCTGTTCACCAATAAGTCCATCTGCTCTGTGCAAACGCCAACAGGATTCAGAGCCCTGATTGGCTGGACCTACGGCGAGGCCACCTACAAACCCGACGAAGGAGTGGACGTCTTAGACATAAGAAACGTAACGGATGACGAGATAGAGCAAATTCTTCGTGAAAAGTTCAACATAAAGCTGCAGAACAAACTGCAGCCTCTCAACAACAAGTCGTACTACACATTCTGAAATCCTACACGTGTGCTGTTTTGAGATTCACCCGGAAAAGATCTCACGACCTGTGTTGATTTCACGACCAACTAGCTTGTTGAATAATCATCTATTTGAAACATGACCAGTGCTTTGAATTTAATCTTTCGTACATTGAAAATTGTGCAATTGCATTAGGCCTGGAGAAAGTGGAAGACATGTTTTTGACTTCTGGTATATGTGTAGGCTAAGTATCCTGAGTCAATGCAAGGAGCAGACACGTCGTCCTTAAGGAAAGTAATGATGACCAAATAATGATTTTAATACATTTTCAAATCTACATAATACATTGTTTGCCAAAAATGTCTATTTTTAAAACTTTCTTATACCAATGTACTCTGCTGAGCTTCAAGTTGTATGATAATGTAGACCATTGTGCTTGGATGTCATCTGTAGTAGGCGTACTCCCTCATATATTGTCACCATGATTAAATATTATGCTTGCATGCACATGCATTTGTCTTCTGACTCATGACTGAGCTTGTGGTTTTGTTAGAAGGCTGGAGCAGGGGTTGTTCAGGTGTCGAAAGGCAGTTCTTAGCGTAGACCGTCTTGTGTTCTAGACAAGGACCTGAACTGTGTCGTTCATCTGACTACATTTGTAGACAACTGATGGATGTGTCTTACTAAAATAATTGCAATCAACTTTACTTTTAGGCCCTTATCTTTTTAGCAGCTCACCGGCAGTTTTCATCTCTGGACGTGGCCACTCACTGCCGAACCCCTACTCAGTTCATTGGGCTCCAACAATTTCTCTTTTGCCATCTGGAGTGTCCCTTTGCACTTCATGCACCTACACAAGTTCAAATGGGCTGACCCCAGTTGATTCATTGACAGAATCCCAGATGGCAGATAAGAAGAACTGCTTGGCTACATACCAATCGCCTCACAATGTGGGCTATAATTTATAATTGTTGACTTGAGAAAGATTACAAATGTTTAGTTTGTCTGAGTTAATGGCAGACGAATACTGTAAATCATTGCTGGTTAACCACTCATTGAAAGAGTACACAACAGACTTCAGAAGTAGTATTCAGAATGTCAAGCCCCTTTAGATTGGATGTTCTGTACTAATTTAATATTTTATAGTGACAAACCGAAGCTAGAAACATTATACATTTACAAATATCTGAGTACATTTGACCCGAAGACAAGACTGAGTATGATACACAATTAAAACTTGTGCATTTCACCATTCCACACTGTTGTGTTTGGTAACGACTATGGATGCCTACAAAATATGGCCAATTGGGAAGGGGCTTGATTCCTGTTCTCGGGAATATTATTTAATTTTTTTATGTTTATTTGTATTTACATTTCAAGGTTGAGAAATGTAAGGTGAGACTTTGAGTCAGTAATTATTTTATTGGTATGTAACTGTGGAGCAATGCTTGCAGCACAGATTAACACGGGGGCCCATCCAAATCTTTAACTTACACAAACACTGTCAGGTTTTACTGACAAGAGCTCAACTCCTAAAAGACATGAGATTCCTTTGTGTCTCTGATGCACACACTGCATCCACAGACGACACCATTCGGACTGCTCAATCAATCTTTATTAAAGCTAAGGGTTAACGCATTTTGCTGCATTTTCTCTCTTTCTCAATTTTTTTTTACAAAGCTTCAGAACAAACTGCAGCCCGTCAAGAACAAATCATTTTACATATAATCCTGTTATTAAATTGATCTGCCATTCTGTCACAACCTGTGTTTATTTCATGACCAACCAGCTTGGCAGTTTTCAAAAATGAACAGTGCTTCAAATCTTCTATACAATGTTGAAGTTGCTGTCTAATAATGGCTAACAGATGTTAAAAATAAACAGTACTTGTCTTCTTCCTTTTCGTTCATTGTCATGTTTGCAGGTCCAGAGTTGGAAAGTAATAATCAAGTATGTCTTCTACATGAATATTGTTCCCTCGAAACACCATAAAGCAATGTTCATCGTTAAAGAACTTTGATGAATCCTTGCCCACACATAAAAAAATCCTATTCAATAATTCATCTAAATATCCAACATACTGAACTGTCAAGTTCATTTAAAACTACAGTAATAAATACATTTATTTGAACTGTATAATTGTACCTGCATTATATTTTTTTTAAGCCAAATTAGGCCCATCTAATTATTATCTTCTTTCTTCTCAAACACTTTCGATTGTTATTAAGTCTATTCTTTTTTACATTGTTTAGTTTTCTGTGTTATATTAGATGTTTTCTAACAAAATAAAAAGGGTGTGGGCTTTCTGGTATTACGTTAGGGTAACTATTACGGAAGGAGCAGCTCCACCTACAGTCCCTGGGCCTGTGTGCGTGCTCTGTTTGGGCTACCTACGAGGAGTACCCTGCTGCTAGCACGCTCACAGCTAGCAAGGAATCCACCTGCAAACCTGCTCAAGCGCACAGAAAGCGAAGGCGGGACTTAGGCTCTTAGTAGCGCCCTGTATTTGGGTTTCAACCAATCACGTTAGAGCTGTGGACACAGCCAATTTGGATTGGCTTACGGCGCCCGTCCTTCCGCTGACGAGTAGCAGGGCCAACACACACTGGGTACTCCATCCAGGGCGCAGCCTCCGAGGCAGTTTCAGCACCAGCGATCGGGCGAAGCGGAGCGGAGCTGTCCACACATTCAGCACTTTGACGGCCAGGATATATCTTCCTCTTGGACACTCTGAGACAGCTTATTTAAGGATGGCGTCTAAATACGTCGGTCTTTTTGTCCTTTTCCAGCTTCTAGCCCTGAATGTAGTGAGCCAGATATCTGCCTTCCCCACACCTACAGCCTCAACGGATGGTGAGTTGGCCATCGCCTCTAACCATGCGAGAGACATGCATTGTAGTAACCCGGTACTGTAAAACATGTTTGCAATAGGCTATTATGTTTAGAAATGTAGATATGCTAAATAAAACTGTTCTCGAGGAAGTCAGTGATTACAAAAGAAGATTTTAAAAACGCCACAAAGTGCAATAAGATCCTACTGTTCAGCACACATGGTGCCTGAAATTAAAAGAGAGAAAAGACAAGGTTATTTTGAACTTATTAGTATACTGATCTAATCATTAAAAAAACATCAATTATATAGGAATATCTGCAGGAAAACTATATTTGTCTATTACACCGTGTAGACCTTGTACAGTACAGGTAATTTAAAGGGCTATTAGCCTATTGATATATATATATATATCAATTTATTTACCATTTATCCTATACTTGTGTAGGTTTAGTATAGGCCTGCAACTAATGATAACCATGTTTATTAACGTGTCAATTGTTTTCTCGATTAAGCAAATAGTTGTTGGGTCTGTCAGAAAATGGTGGAAAATGTCAATCAGTGTTTCTCAACGCCACGATGACGTCCTCAAATGTTTTGTTTTGTCCACAACTCAAAAATATATTCAGTTAACTGTCACAGAGGAGTAACAAAACCACGAAATATTGTCCTTTAAGAAGCTGTAATACGATCATTTCGCTTTGTTTTGTTCATCTATGAACCCGTCGACTAACTAAACATAGCAGAGAGCAGTGCCTCTAAAGTTCAGCTGCAGCTCAGCGGTGACTGGTGCGTTCAACGACGCCTTCTCGCACGTTAGGGCCGCTTGTGGTCTATTTTCGCTGCAGTTTAATCTTTTTGTTTGATAATCCGATTAAGCCCTGCCTCTGCGGTGCATGGTGAGTTGGGAGCTCAGAAACGATCCCATAAGTCTGAAAGATACAAATGTATTTAAATGACAAGAAGAAAAAAAAGTGACACCTTTTAAAGAAGTACATTATCTTATTAGAGTTCTGTTAAAAAGCAGATGAATCTATGCGCAATTCACATTTGTGACCTAAGAGATCTGAGTCTGCTTAAAAGTTTAAAGTTATTGCATGTTTTTTGTTGTTGTTGCAGATAAAACTGTGTACAATAGACAGCTGACGGAAGAAAGACCACTACAAGAGCAGGTAAGCCTCACAGCTAATTTTATCATCCAATATCCGGCCAACTGGGCTTTACGGTCACTTGTCAAACAACCAAGGTATTAGCCCAGCAAACATTACTAATCAGAGCTTATATCCTGCGTGGAAATTATTTGTGTAACGTTCGTCATTTCCCCAGATTGCTGAGGCGGACAGCGTGAAGGCTGCAGTACAGTCAGCGGGTAAGAGGAAACCTTACTGCCAATCAATTAACGCCGGGTTCATGTTGCAGCACTTCACATCCATGAGAGAGGAGTTCATCTTCACCACTTGTATGTCTCCAGTTTGATCATTCCGTCCCTGCTGTCTTTCAGAGAGCAAGCGTCCCACGGCCTCCAAGGTCGCCGAGTCAGAGCAGGATCTCGACGACTTCACTGTGCTGAAGTCGCTGGCTGACGGCCAGAAATCAAAGGAGACCACTGAGGTGGCCCCCGAGAAGGAGGACCAGTACGTTCCAGATGAATCAGACTCGACCAAGAGCCGCCGTCTGGCTGAGGACTACGACTCCACCAAGAACGGGATGGACTACGGCAAGTACCAGGGTACGCACACCTGTCACCGCGTCCACCGGGTTAGCTGCCGAACGCGGCCTTTTGGTCTGATTCCCTTTCTGCATGTGTGACCTTTGCCCCGGTCGCCACGGGCAGGCCTCATACCGCGTGCTTCTGTCTGTCACTGACAGGCCGCCGGGCAGACATTTTAAGAAAGAGTAGGCAGAGGAAACACATGTGTGTGTGTGATGGGGATGAGCAGAGACAGAGAGAAAGAGTCAAAGGACACATGCATGTGAGAGAGAAAGATTATCCTCTCCCAATAGTCACAGCAGTTGTGAAAGCTTACGCCGGGCTACCGTACCAGCTTCTTCTCTTTTCACAGGAGACTTTTAAATACATGTAGACACCGACCATTTCACTCAAAATCCAATCATTTGCTGGTATCTGCATAGATTTTGAGCCTCAATAGATGTCATCAGATCAGCACACATTTCACTGTGTATGCATGTAATTTGATCTAATCATCAGCATAAAGCAGAGCCTCTGAGGCCAGGTGACTCAGACACAAAGTGCTGAGTGCTACTCTTCATCGATTCATGCGTTCGGCCTGGCAACAACAAGCAGCTCGTCAGGTTACGCTACATCTAAATTTGGCAAGTGCAGGCGAGATTTAATTCCTTATTTCCTGGAGTGAGACATAAATAGGTGAAGCTGAACACTGGCAATTCAACTCGCCGATACGGGCAACATTTTATTCCAGCACTGCTTATTTTTGTTGTGCGTGGACGTTGGGAAGCAGCTGGGACTGTTATGTAAGAGTCAAGCTGTAGCAAATGGCACATTTCTTATTCAGTAACGCAGATATAGAGAAGTTAAATATTAGGAGAGGAGAGGGCGAATTATTTATTACTGACAGCTCTTGTTCATTTCTATGGTACAATAGAGAGACAGAGAAGCAGATGGAATAAAGTAGAGAGTAGAAAAGGGAGAAAGCA